CTAGGTGTAGTTGGATAATAATGATCAGTACTTAAGCAGTAGTGAAAAAAATTCAGGCCAGTAAGGGATTCGAACCCACGACTTCTGCGATACCGGTGCAGTGCTCTACTAACTGAGCTTACAAGCCAACTGGGGGCTGGTCATTATGTTGGTTTTTAATAAACCCGTGAAGTGATGAGTCAATGTTTGTGAATATATGAAATCATATATTTGAACTGTGGTCAACTGACCAACATAATGACCAGCTCCCAATTGGCTTGTTAGCTCGGTTGGTAGAGCACTGCACAGGTATCGCAGAAGTTATGGGTTCGAATTCCGTACAGTCCTGAAGTTTTTTCAGGCCTTATTTTCACTACTGCTTAAGTAGTGACCAATTCTCCGGAATTGGTCATGACAATGTTGTTACTTTCAGCAGGACAGGACCCCGATGGAATGTTAGTGCCCAAATGAACGCCCTGGCCCCGGTTGTTCGAAGGATGGATAACACTATACAGTGGATAAATCTCTATCCGGTGGATAGCACAGTACGTTTTGGCAACGCTTATCCGGCCGCTGGATAGCGATTTATCCGTTGGATAGCGTTATCTGCTCTTTGAACAACCGGAGCCTGGTGTTTATCTAGGGCCGGTGTTTGATTCAGAGAGTACAATACGATTCAGAGAGTACAATAGTGTTATCCGGATGGATAACACTATGCAGTGGATAAATCTCTATCCGGTGGATAGCACAGTACGTTTTGGCAACACATCCTCTGGATAGCGATTTATCCGTTGGATAGCGTTGTCCGCTCTTTGAACAACCGGAGCCTGGTGTTTATCTGGGGCCGGTGTTTGATTCAGAGAGTACAATACGTAACAGTTTAGGTTCTTGGCCACGGGTTGACGGGATAGATTGGTAGGCCAGAAGCCAGCCTGAGGAGCCTGAGATGTACCCGATGCGACGTTGACTTGAATTTTCTAATCAGCGGATTCAATTCTCATAGGGTATATTATGTATGTTAACTTTTTCTGTATCAAGAAAAATCGAGCCATATTATTATTATATACTGCGATGCGATGGGACCATACATGCAACATATATGACGGTTAGCAAATAAGTTTGTTTTGGCGGGACATAGCGAAATTGTTTTGAATCCGTCGAAGGCCTTTCTTTCGTGTTGTGACACAGAAATCTCCCTCGAATCAGCAAAATTTTGGTCCACATTTGGGGCGCGATACATTTTTTTACCTTGTGGCTCATTAACGTAATTGAACAAACAACGTACAGTAAGTTTATTTTGATCAAATGTTGCAAATCACGTGTACATTCTTGATGCCCGAAAAATTTGTGATGGCTGTTTTCCGTGCTTTTGTCTTGAGTTTAATAAATGTTACACTGATGCTTTTTTCAATCTTACACCGTACATTAAACTGCAGAATCATGGAGGAAACTGTGAGAGATGGACTGATTCAGTTTTTAGAGCAGAAAGTACCTGCGGAAACTTTAAAGTATGTGTTTAGTGATATTCTTGAAATCCAGTATATATTTAAACTAAGTTAAGTCTGAAGTAAATGAACCCTTCACTGATTGATATAGCATGAAAACCCAAATCTTGAGGTAGACTTGAAGTTATGGGGCGGATAAAAGTTGTTTCTTGCGTCAGTGTTCGTCGATCGAGATTTGCAGCATGTGGGAAGTTTTCTGACCTCAAAAGTGAGAGTTTACTTCAGACCCAAGCAAGAGCAACGTTAGCTTCCCGAGTGCTTTACAACTTGCAGGGTTCTTCATATCTTAATCAATGCCGAGCTGACATATCAACAAATGATTTCAGCTAATGGTTATAATGGTAATTTCAATGAGATACAAGGAGAAATAGGCAATTTTACAGTTCTGCACTTGGTTGCCAAGCCTTTGATTTGGAGTGAGGCTGAAGGTGACCTTGTTGTGATAGACACCAGCATCTACTTAGCTTGATAACAAAGTAATTTACATTTGAAAAGCAGCAATGTCTGAATCATAACAAGGTCACCCTTAGCCTCACTCCCATTCAAAGGCTTGGCAACCAAGCATGCAACTGTAAAATGGACTATTCCCACCTTTTTGAAAAAATGTTCTGCCAAACACACCCCCACCCCCTCTGCCTTGTTGGCTGTAGCTTATGCATTCCTCTTTAACACCCCCCACGCTCTCCCAGAAATGTATTGCATGAGCTCTGTGAATGCATTTGTACATTCTACATCATCAGAGCTCATAATGTTGTTGTAACAACGAGATTAAGTTGAAAACAACTCCATTTTAATTCTTTGACTGACTGGCCGATTACAAGTTGAAAAAACCATGAAACTAGGACCTGCAAATACATATATATGTGCATATGTATCTGTGGATTGTGTGCTCCAAACATTAGCGCATGCACAGTGATATATTGCATGCATACATGCATGCTTCTAATACTAAATCGTCACAAATGGGAATATGAAGTATCCTTGAGGAATTGAATAGCCCTTATCGCATTTGTGTCTACAATGCAAAGGGTCC